GTAAACAAGAATTCTCTATATAGTGACCCTCTTCATTTGGGCCTTACATTTCTAAAAGCATTACTGTGTTTTACATCCTGCTTGCTGGTAGATTCAGAGCTACCCTCCACCCAGAGGTTCCGATCTTACGTTCAAGGCATTTCTCTTAATAACCACAGAGTTTAGTCATGGTTCAAACACATCTTACAGCATCCTAGACAGATTCTATAGTGGGTCTTTGTGGTCACTTCCAGCTTTGTTCAATCTCTCCCAGGGCATAGTCACCAAGAATGCAGAGAGCTCACCAGACAGCTCAGGCGCAAGGGGATCATGAAAGATCCCAGAAAGCAAGAATTTAGCTTACATGAAACAAAATATCAAGTTTAGCTGGACATAATTTTCATTTAAAAATTTAAAACAGAACTAAAATGTTTGGTGTTACTACATTCTAAAAACAATAAAAAGCATTTTCTTTACAGTTCTAACTTTAAAAAAATCTGGGATGAATACTGTCATACACAAGTAAAAATATAGGACAATTGAATGAAATGTCATATTTTATAAGTTCTAAGGGACACAAATGTTAAATTATCTTAGAATTAAACTGCCAGATTCTATTTCATACAAAGTGAACTCTGTTTTATGCTTGACCACATTGTGTAGAGATTTATTTTTTAAAAGAGACATGAGATAGACAAAAAAGAAGGGACCAAACTTCTTGAGTAACCTACAGATAGTTGTCATGCACGCACTGTATCTTCATTTGGTGATTGACATTTATTTGTAGTCAATGCTTTATTTTACACACCAAGGAGTAATTGCTATTGAATTTTTTAAAGTAAAAGCATAACCTGCTACCTTTGCTGTCATCAACATCATCTGTGGTCTAGCGCCAAAGTATAATTTCTGGCCTCCAGATGTTGATCCTTAGGAATTTGGTGGCAGAATGGATGACTCTTGGTAGGGAAATGGCAATTAGTGATACACTGGTGAAACTTATAGTCTCTGAAGTCAGACAACTTGAGTTCAAATATCCAGGTTCTGCACCTCCTTAGCTCTGTAACCTTGATCAAGTTGCTTAGTCTTTATAAGCCTTAGTTTCCTCATCTATACAAAGGAGATAATTTTAGGATCTTCCCATATAAAAGTTTTTCACACAGTGAATGGTACCTAGAAAGCACCTAGTAAATGCTAACTAACGTTATTATATTTATATGAAACGCACCCTCTAATTTTGTCATTCTGACGAATAATTCTACTAAATCATTTCAAGGTTATTAAACATCAAAAACAGCACATCAATTTCAAACCAGATTGGCCTATAAGATCTGGAGGCTTACAGCCAACATCCAGAGTTATCTTGCCAGTCGCTCTTCCAGCCTCATTGATGGCTACACAGGTATAATCACCAGCATCCAGATCTTGTGTTTCTTGAATCTTCAAAAGTCCCAGCAGAGGGTCAATAATGAGGAATGTTGAGGGCCTCAACTCAAGATCTCCTAAGTCAAAACAAAAGGGAGAACATTAAACACTAATGTATTAAAATGGTTTACTCAGCTATTGGTTTAATTTCAAAACTTCTGAATAAAGTCGATTGCAAAGGTTTTAAACACAAGTGTTTCACAACACAGATACTTTCTACAATCTAAAATACAGACCTGTAATAAACTGTGTACAAATGTTTTCTATTTATATCTGTATGTGTAACTAAATAAAAAAGAAGGAGCTCTTTGAAGCTACACTGGGGAACCAGGAAAGCCTGGCAGTCACATCTAAGGCTTTGTTAGGTAAGAAGTGGGGAAATGAAGGTTGAAAGGAAGTTTCTACCATCTTTGTGGCAAGATGCATTTGATCACTCAGTAGATGTTTGAGAGACCAGAAGAATTTTATTTAAGCTAATGACCAGTGCCCCAAATTTCCCAAGAATCACTTTTATTTTAAGGCAGAAGATGCTTCAACCAAGCTGTGATTTAGGTTAGGCTTTTCCTTATGCTTCCCCTCTTCCTCCTCCAGGGCATCTCCTTACCAAAGAATAGAATTAATCAGGATGGCCAGTATTATAAAAAGTACACAGCACTGGAAGTTTAATGCCAGCTCAGTGTCTTCATCTGTTTTGTTTGTTTTTGTAAAGCTCCTGGAAGCTTTGAGGGCCATTGTTCTTAAAGTTTCATAGTATTCCCAGATGTCAAGTCTGAAAAGAAGGTATTCTCTAAAATGTCATACAGCAGCCATCTGACCTTGGCCTGAGGACCATGGAAGTAACTCTCTCCGCTTCTAAGAAGCAAAGACAACTCAGGAACTGCTACTAAAATTCTCTAGGACACTGCAGACAGCAACAACCAACAGACTGAGGACAGCAAATGGACAATTCTCTTTCTGTTTATATAATTTTCAAAGTCAAGGAGGTCACAAGAGCTCCAAATTGAAAAAAAAATTACATCAGCAACCAACTGTCAGGGTCTAAAACAAAGTATTTTTCAGCATTCCAATATTTAAAACCCCAGTCATTCTTTTAAGCTGGCTACTACATACCATGTGAAAATGAGAGCAGCAACTAAAGCTGTGTCGATGTGCCTCTGAGAATTTTTATAAATAAAAGCAGATGATGTTGACACAGACTTTCCTCACACCAAGGAAGGATGCAATGTGACCTCGCTGTTCGTCAAGTATTAATATGTTTGGACTAAAATGCATTTAGATTTTTGGAATTTACTTTCCCCTTATATTTCTTCTGTAAATGTCAGAGGACATTAACAGGACAAAATAAAGACCTTTTTGCTAGTAGCTTTCTATCAAAATAAAAATGTTTCGAGAATAGCGGTCACGAAACAAAACATAAATTGGAAAACACTAGTTCAATTAAGTTTGTGTTTTAATCACATTTTGATAGATTCTCCTTTCTTGATTTCTACTGAAAAGTTACTCATCAAATTATTGAGAAGCTATAAAAGAAATGCAGAACTTCAGATGGAAGTAAAAATAGCGATTATTTACTTTTAACATTAGATAAGACTAGAAGAATGTTATACGTAGTAAAGCTTTACTGACAATATATTCTAGGGTTTACAGTCATTCTCTTCTTGCTGCAATTTAAATTGAACCCTAGCCTCTGTGGATATAAAGACTAACAGAGATCATTATCTCTGGCAAAAGATTCTTTCAAATAATTGATGACTAAGTAATTATAAAAAATGTTTGTTTAAATACTTCTTAAGTGTACTCTTAAAAATTAATGGGGACCCTGGTGAATTTTTATGTTGATTATATTTATTTGTTTTATATTTGTATATACATATATATAATTTTAGAACTAAAACTGAGAAATTTAAAAACACATGCATTCACTTATTTTTTAACAGATGCATGACATTTTAGTATAATGAACATATTATATTTTAAAACTGTGTTTTCCAAACATGAGAAATTTAGTGAGAAGAGTGGCACTGTTTCCCATTTTTGCAAATCTCTATAATGTCAAATGTAGTGTAATACGAGACAGGTGAATGCTCGCATTTGCTTCTGCATTCACTCTACTGGACACCACACATCACACAGCCTCCAGAAACTCCATTACTCACTTGTGAGACAGTAAGAATGAAAAAGACAACATCTTAGAATTATTATGAAAATAGTTTTGATCTCTTGGATCCCCTGAAAGAATTGTGGGAACCCCCAGTCTCCAAACCACATTTTAAGAACAGATCTAAATGAATAAATCTAATTTCTTTAATGTTTTACCATACATACCCTTTTCATAAGATTTTAATAATGTTTTGATTCTTCCGTGAACCCACTTTATGCTGCTCATTTCCATCTAAAATTTCAGAAAGCATTTGTGCTTATGGAATTCCTTTTCTCTGATGGTCTGAATGGAATACAGTTTTTTCATTGTTTTTCTTTTAAACACCTGCTTTATTCATCAGAATCACCTCAAGGAAGATATGAAGAAAAAGATATCCTTACAGTGCAGGCAGGAATTCTTCCTCTTCACCCTTATGGTTTCTGTAAGGCAGCATTTTCCTAACTTTCCTGGTGTCTCGTCCTCAGTAGAGATGGGACTGGAAAGCCCGCCTACTCCTAAAGCCCTCCATTTTGAGGCCAGTTTGCACGCCCAGGAGTTTGTCCCCTAGATTGGCTCTTGGTGGTCCTAACTCTACTCTGCTTATGCATACATTGTCTGCCTGTAACTGGGAGGGTGTGTTAGTAGAACTGATCCTGGAGGTCAGGGCAGCTCTGCCCATTATTGATGAACCTAGGGAACACATTGACAACATACCTAATGCCCGTAATATATTTCTGTTGGTTCATAACTTGGACAGCAAGATGACATGTTATTGAACCCACTGAGTGGTAATATCTAGAGATTAGATAGTACAGGGATTCTAGAATCCCTCATGCGGTGGGTACATAGTTGCCTATCTCCTCCTTTAGTTTTCAAGCTATTTGGGGGTTTGGGACTGGCATGAAGGCTAATTGATTCAGGAGCGTGGCCCCAGTTTGGGAGAATAAAATACGTTTTGTGAGACTCTGCTATATACACATACAGAGAAGTTGGCATTTCCATTACTTTTTTGTTATTTTCATGATAAACTATTAAGTGATATTTAAAATGAAGAAATATGTCTCTATACTTTCTTGATATATTTAATTATAATGTAAATTTGAAATTGGTACTTATTTCTTTGGCAATTCAAAGATTTAAGTATTTTAAGAAAGAAAAATTAGTTTATGTTAACTAACATAAACCTGATTAAGGAACAAATTCAGAAAAGCTTTCTTATCAGAGAAAACATGAATACTAAAAATCTTTCAGCATCGAAAACCAGGAAAATGGCATTACTTCCTAGTTTCCACCTTGCTTTTGATTTATATTATTTAAAACTATTTATTTTCTATACAAAGCCTTTCTTTTTCACCTCGTGTTCCCAAAGAGTTTGAACTTGAGGTGAATTCCTACTTTTGTGATTATGACATCAACCTGTTGCTATGGAAATGTTTGTGATTTAACAAACAGAATCATAACAATAGTGCTTTGTACTATTTAACACTTTTCATCTGACGATTAAAAAGTATTTTGCAAACAGCATCTCAATAATCCTAGCAACCTCTTGGTTAGAGTGTCTGCAGATTTTTTTTCTTTTTCCCGTAATTGGAAGAACTGAAACAGAAGCAGAAGAAGAAGCAGAAGCAGGGCTTTTTACACAGATATCTACTGTCAGCATCTGAGCCTGAGCCAGGATCCAAGTGTATTCTCATCAAGGTCAAGTGGCATCTAACTGTTATTTTATTATGGAATCAGAGGTATAACCTTTATGTTACAAATATAGAAAGAGAATTTCTATAGTTGAGATAAGCATATACCATGTATGATGAAGTTGACCAATAAATACATTTGTCTTTCAACTATCTGCAAGCTTCAATGTGTATCTTTATTTGAACATTTTGTAGAAAGTATCCTTGTGAATCTAGAAAACTTTTTAATAGTGAGAGCCATTATCTCTAAGAAAACTGAACTAAAATCAGTGGAGCTATTTTAAATGTTAACAGAGTATTCTTGGATAATTTTCTTCAGGAAACAATCCTAAGCTAACAAAGAGAATGTTCAGCTGGATTAGCAAAGCGAACTCTTCCTGCTTTGATTTTTGCAGTCCTGTAATCCATACCAGATGTCAAATCCTGAAATTCAGAGTTGAGAATTTTGAACTATTGTCTCCAGTGAGATCATAAACACATTTTATGGGGCTGCTAAGTCACACACCAAAACAAATTTTTAACAAATAATTTTTTTAAAAAGAAAACAAAACTAAGTGAATCAGACACAAACATACTGAAGAAACGTACCTTTGAACCATTTAACTTGAGGTGGAGGAATACCAGAAGTTTTGCATTCCATAACCGTTATGTCCCCAAGGGCAACCAAGAGCTCACTCTGAACTACCCTCAACTTAGGGGCTTCTGCATAAAACAAACAAGCAAATAGTCAACGTTTAGCACAAGACCACATGGATTTTGTTTAGTTTACTAAATGAACCAATTAAAAATCTATCAGAATTTATGTGCTTGTGGCCATTTCAACATTTATAAACAGAAAGAAAGTTACAATGCACATGCACATAGATGTATGTGATAAAAATATCACTTATCAAGGTCAAAAAAAGGATAGCAGGAAAAAAAAAAGACTAAAACAAAAGATAATTATGATTTAAAAAGTCCAAAAAATTTAGAAAACTGAAAGTTCTTTATGAAAAAGTTATATAAGGAAAGAAAAATTGTAGAAATCAGAATACATCTTATAGAAACAATATTAAAAGAACAGAGAGAGGAGTAACTCTAAGAAAATATAGTCAAAAGAGAGGCAATGGTAGGACCGACAGCTAAGTGAAGACTTGAGGATAATACAACTGCAGATGAATTTGTTAACATTTTTTACGCCATTTAAAAAATATTCGTGTCGAACTACAGGGAGCTATTTGCAGTCCAAGCCTAAAATTTGCGTTTATAAAAAGTAGAATCTCCTGGTTTTGACCCCTTCTGTTCCCTGTGATGCTAAATATAGATATTCTCTAAATTTCTGCCCTTCACTCTGTTTGCTTCACCAGCTTGCCCAAGGGTTCAGTTTACTCACACATTTTCTCTCGACGAGGTATTTTAGGACTTCCTTGCTTCAGCTGAGGTATTTTTAAACAAAGCTAAGTTAACTTCTCACAGATGATTCCCCCTGCTTTCAAAATTCCACAGAATCTCTTTCAAAAATCATAAATGGTTGCACAGCTATTTTTTTTTAAACCTTACCCTCTGTTACACTTCCTCACTTATCACAAGGTATAGAGCTTCGCTGATAGCTCTAAACACAACAGACTTTTACTCTCCTATCTTGTTTGCCTTTCCTAAAGCTATTTCCTCTTTGCAAAATGCTTTTTGCCACAATTCTTCAAATCCCACTCATTCCTCCAGACGGAACCTAAATCCTGTCTCCTTTGAGAAATCTTTGCTAATTCCTGTGTGAATTAATCATCCCCTCTGCCAACCTCTGACAGTAGTACTTGTCTGTCTGCCTTGTCATAGTCCCATATGTATCCACCCCCATCATGTAAATTCTTGAAAACTAAACACTCCATGACATACATTTTTTAAGTTTTACACTCCACAGTCTCCAGCAGAGCATTTTGCATACCACGTCTCTAAAGGTGCTTAGTAAGTTAAAATAAATGTGTTAATATCATGGCTTCTATCTGAATGAACCAAAATTTGTTTTCACAATGGAATGTAGACTTGTTTCAGTCACTTGTTCTGCATTCCCAACTGTTTTTCCCTCTATACCTGGGTATTCTGTGAACATTTTTAATTCAATTTTCTCCAAATCTGAGCCCACTTTCCCTTCTAAAGGTATTCACCATTTCCCTTCTTCATTTCTATAAATGAGATCGCTTCTTTCCAGGCTCTCAGTTCAATGCTTGTGACATTTTCGTTCTCTCCTCACCTATCCCTTCAAGTACAATTTTTGATCTTTATTATCACTTTTGAATCCCTTCTTCTCTACTGACAGTTTCATTATCTCACTATGAATGAGGCTGAATAAGAATGAATGAAAGGGTGGATTGCTAGCCATTGATGATATACGATTTATATGCTAGATCTGAGTATATGATATGATACCTTTATCCTTTATTTGACCAAGAAAGACAAAAGTAAATAGAAAGACTCCATAGAGTAATTTTCATGAAGTACACTTTTAATAAATGTTTAAGTTTTAAGGGGGAAATTGAAGATAAAAAAAGTAAAAATTATATATAGTTTTGAATATAATAGAAATTATAAGATGTAAGTTAAGCTAGAAAGGATATAGAATTTATTAATTTGAAAGTAAAATATTGCAGAGAACAGATGAACAGATTGCTCCATAACCTGGAAACTTCCTTGGTTTCTGTTAACTAATGAAGCTTTTCACTCCATGAACTTTTAACTTAAATTAGTTAAAATATTTGCTTTAATCAGTGTGTGAAATGAACAACAAATTATAATAGGTATACCTTATTATTAATTTTCAAAAAATACTTTTGCATTGCTTGATGTGAAATTCATCCTGTTTTAATTGTCTTTTAAACTGATTATACTTGCCAATGTATCTGAGAGTAGAATTCTGTTTATCTGTTCCAGCTGAATTGCTTGCCAGGCAACCATAGACCCCTGCATCTTTGGGAGCTGCATTTTTGATAAATAAGGTACCATCTGAGGTCATCCTGTACCTATGAATAAAAAACAAAAAGAATATAAAATTGAAAATACCATAATGGTAATATCAAGATAATATAGTGTTTTCCTTTAATATATTTTCAAACGTTTTAGAGTTACATTTTTGGTTGCAGAAATGCTTATCATCATTATTTTACAAGCAGAAATGCAATAACAATAATAATAGCATGTATCCAGTATTGGCTACATGCCAGCCACTGGTCTAGAAACTTTACATTTATTTATATTTAAAATTTTCCTAACACCCTAACGAGGTAAATATTATTAATATCTCTGTTTTACAGGTGAACAAAGAGGTAACATAACTCACCCAAAGCCACAGTTAGTAAATGGAAGAACTGGAATTTCTACCCAGGCAATCTTGCTCCATGTGGTGAATTGCTATACTAAACAGTTCTTCAGAATGAACACCTTAGAGATGTAATGTCACATGGGACACAGGGTCAGTGATGATCTAGGAATAGAATCTGGCTCAACTTGCCGGATCACACCTATGACCTCTTCACTGCCAAACCCAGAATTGGAAGCCCCACGACTGGATACTTTGTTGTTTCTATTCCACGTGTTTATTATACCCTAGGAGCATGAGGGGATTCAATGCCTTTAAAAAGCATCCAGGAGAATAAAATATTTCCCACCATAGTTTGGCAAAAGTGAAAGTAATTACAATGTCTGCACACATTTTAATCAGAGCTACTGGTCTGTTCTTGGCCTCTCTCTTCTTTTAAATCCACGATGATGTCTTTAATCAATTTGTTAAAACTATATGTTATTCCACCTCACAGAGAGTTTATTATCCTCATTTTAATAACTCAAGGTAAACTAACTGTCTTGGTGCCCTGTTTGCAACTCAAAGTATTGGGAAGCACTTGGTCCCAGCTATTGAATTCAAGAATTAATAACCTCAAACTTTAAAAAGTCATCATTTATATTATTTTGACATTCACAGCCTGTTTAAAAAACGCAAAGCTATGTATTTTGGTCAAATCTCCCTTAATATTAAGGATTTGGTCATATTAGTTTGGTCTAGAAGTCTCATCAATTTTTCTCACTCTGTAGAAACGAAGAACATGATACAAACCCAGTACCTGTGTGAACCCATGATAAACATATCATGAACGGTCCAGGCGATCTTTGGTTTGGGATAACCTGTTGCCGAACACATGATGGAGACCTCAGACCCTCCTGTGAAAGACTGATTCCTGGGCAGCACAGTGACTTTGGGTGCTTCTGCAAACAAAAATATGTGTATGTAGAAAAATGCCAATTTATCTTGACGTTAGAAGCTTCCTATGTTAGCAGATTTGTCGGTTTCTCACCACCACACCTCTATTTCCTTCCTTTATGAATGACCCCTATCACGGATATGGCAGGAAAGAAACCAATGGTAATGAAAAAAGGGAAGTAAACTAAACTCTCTTTGAAAGTTAAATGAATTTGATCCCGATGCTATATTTCTGTGTTTCTGCTGGTTACCATGAAGCCCCTTGCGGCTTGCTTCCACCAGCTGACCTCCAATTTATGCCACTAATTTGACACTTCCCTATAAACGTGTTCCCAGGCAAAGTCTCTAGGTAGAGATTTTGGGCTCTTTCCAGTCAACGAATGTAGGTTTGGAGCCACAGCTTCTCCTGACTATGCTGTCTGCTTTGTTCAAACTGATCTTTCCCTTTTTGTTTATTTGATCATAAATTTGTTAAGGTCAGAAACCATGTACTCATATTATTCCATATTCTATTATATTCTATAGCATTTAACATCCCTTGCATAGCAGGTAGTGGCATGTATATAAAAGACATTTAAGACTTTTGATGAAATGCAGTTTCCTAAACTACAATCTGGTTCTGAATTGTAATGTCTGCCAGTCCCTCCCAAGATCCTGCTACACTGGTCATTTGACTCATGTCTGTGCATCCACGCACAGGACCTCAACTTAACAAAAAATATCAATTATTGAAACTTTATCTTTCATTACACTTCTATGGCAGGAAAAAGACTTTTGAAAATGAAACACTAAATCAGGAGTTTATCACAAAAAAATTCCCAATTCTCAGATAATTCTGGGATGTTGATATATTTGTTTTAAGCAATTACATGTTTTACATGTATATTACTACACAATAAGAATTAATCTTCAAAGAAGGCACCATCAGAGATATTAAGTAACTCCTAATGTAAATACCTGCCACTCAATAAGGTAAACAAAAATAAATTAATTTCTACCATGTTTGAAACAGATTTCACGAATATTAACAGAAATAAATACATTCATTCAATAACACCTGTTTTTTGCACAATTATTCTGTGCCAGATACGGTGCTAACTTGTAGGGACACATGGATGAACCTAACAGGCATGTTGTCTGCTTTCCATTTAATTTGGTTTTTACTATAAATAAAATTGATAAATTCAGTTAGCCAGTTAGATGTGGATCTCTTTATGATGTATCTTTCCTGTAAGTTAGTCTGCAAATTGTGGCTTAGTTTCACCGAGAAAACATTAGCTTGGTGAATCTCTCTCTGTACATGTGAAAGAGATACAAATGGTACTGCTGGGCGGCAGCAGCTACACAACTAAAGGAAGCTAATCAGTGCCTAATTGCTAGCAGCTTACAGTTGACCCCTCCCCTTTTTTCCTGTTTACATTGTGTTCTTCAAATTATGATCTAGTCTTTGAAGCTAATGTTTAAAGGATTTTTTCCGGTCCATGAACTTGGTTGATAGCCTCATTATTCCATGGATTCTTGTTGGTGAGCATAGGGCTAGAGAAATGTGTGAGGTCAAGAGCAGACTGGATATGGCCAGTAAGTTCAAGTTGTGATTCCATCTGGAGTCCATCAATTCTGAAATTCTGAAGGACTACACATGCTGTAGGGATGTTGTAGATAACTTTCAGGGAATCGGGTGGGTGGGGGAGAATGAACAGTTCTTTCTCTTTGGAATTTATTGAAACACACATTTACTCAATCCCATCTTCCTAAAACAAGATGCTTCTCATGTCTAGCTATCGACATGGAATTGCTGCAAAGATTCAAGCAACTCTCAGAATTTTTGTCCAAACTTGGTGCCTTCAATGTAGTCTGCCAGAAATGGCCTGGCATCTCTCCCAGCAAAAATCCCACTGGTAGGCTCTATAGTTCAGCTATCAAAGTAAAAATAAGTTAGTTACCCAAACCAGAATGCAGAGAGCTAAAAGGTCATTGAGCAAATACAGTCTGGATATACGGTGCTGCTCAGGGTCATGAAATAAGTCTGTGTGCAATACGCAGATGGGATGACATCATCCCACAGGAGGTGAGAAATTTACCATTCCCTTAGAAAGAATATTCCTGCTGGTGATAAGATACTTGGAAAGAACATGAACAGATACAGAGAAGCCAAATTAGATTTCCGTTAAATAACAGTTGACTAAACATGGCCAAAATGAATTAGCTTTTACTTAATCAGGTTAAATAATAGTATAATAGATCTCACTTTAGTTATTTCAACTGTTAATTTTTTTAATTCCTAGAAAAAACTCATTTTAATGAAGTAGTTTCAATGGAGCAAGAACATGGAATTGAAGAACCACAGTTCAACTCCATCAATAAAATAACATCATTTGCCAACTAACAAACTGAATCTACATCTCTTTATTTACAATGTAAAATCCTGTTCTGATAGGAAAACAAAATAGTACTAATGTTGGATTTAGAAGTCTGGAGTTCAGCTGGCCCTGGTGGCTCACGCCACTTTGAGAATCCGAGGCAGGTGGATCACGAGGTCAGGAGATGGAGAGCATCCTCGCTAATACAGTGAAACCCTGTCTCTACTAAAAATACAAAAAATTAGCTGGGTGTGGTGGCACACGCCTGTAGTCCCAGCTATTTGGGAGGCTGAGGCAAGAGAATCGCTTGAACCTGGGAGGCAGAGATTAGAGTGAGCCAGACTGCACTCCAGCCTGAGTGACAGAGCAAGACTGTGTCAAAAAAAAAAAAAAAGAAGAAGAAGAATAAGAAAAGTCCGGAGTTGAATTTTGGAGAGAAGTAATCCATTTTTCCTTGAGATTTTCAGTCTTGTATCACCACCATCATCATTACCACCACCTTGAGCAACCAACACCATCATCATCCAGAACAACTCGATTTTGCTAGCCAAAGCAATGTGAACACAGCACTCTGTTAGGTGGCAAGGTATTAATTTGCTTTTTATTTTTTAATTATAACAAAATTGAAATACATGTTTTTCCTATCAATAATTTAGAAGAATTAAATATAAATATAAAATAAAAACCAACACTACTTTAAGAATTGGGTATCTCAATCCACTATTAGTGGTAAGACTAGCAAAAGTGTAAGCGGCCATGAAAAGAGCCATCTCACTGCCTATAAAGACTAGGAAAGAAAAAAGTCTCACCCAACTGCCAATGCTATATGCAAGCTCAGGAGGCACATTTCCTGTCAACTGGGTCTGATTTGTTGCTCTTAAGCTTCTGGTAGGAAATTTCTCAGAGAAAATGCCTAAGGACTTTTTCTTCAAGGTTATTTAATTACCACCAACAAATTAATTAGATAATGCAAATTATTTGATTACCTAAGCCATAATTAGAATAGTTAGAACCACTGGCATATTTTAGAGTACTTGGGCAAATTTCTGTGCTTTACTTTTTTCAGCCAACAAACATTTACTGAGTACAGACTGTTTCAGACACTTTATGCCTTCAAAGATCTCACAGATACTGTAAATAAAGTACATTATGTAAAATTAGGAGCTAAATCTCTTTCTAGTAGTCAGTTCATTGAAATAGGAAAGTGGTGCCTTTCTTCCATCAGTGCCTATTACATGCCAGGTATCTAACTCTAGACCCATCATTTATTTTCGACAATAACACTATGAAGTGTTCCTGCCATGTTACAGATAAAGAAACTATGGCTCAAAATGGTTAAATCATTTGCCCAGTCACTCAAAGGTGGAGTTGGGATTCAAATGCAGATGTTGCTGCCTCCATGGTGTCTGTCTATACCTTAATGGGATAATAATGGTACCTACCCTTATAACGTTATTATGGACTAGCTAGGTTAATATACATAAAACACTTAAAAGAATGCTTGGCATGTAGTGGTCACGATGTAGCTTTTGCTATTATTATTAGTATTCTACTATATAGCAAAGTATGACAAAATAAAGTACTATAGTATTTAAAATACATCTGTGTATATGTAATATCTAGACATTTTCAAATGCAATTTGATCACCACAATCCTCACGCTTGCCTATTCCATTTAGATTATATACCCTATTTAAGGCTTGGCATGGTGGCCCATGCCTGTAATCCCAGCACTTTGGGAGGCCAAGTGGGGGAGGATTGCTTGAACCCAGGAGTTCAAGACCAGTCTGGGCAACATGGGGAAAACCTGTCTCTACTAAAATAGAAAAATTAGGCTGGTGTGGTGGTGCATGCCTGTAGTCCCAGCTACTACTTGGGAGGCTGAGGTGGGAGGATCATCTGAGCCCAGGAGGCAGAGGTTGCAGTGAGCCAAGATTGTACCACTGCACTCTACCCTGAGTGTGAATGAGATCCTGTCTCAAAAAAAACAACAACAGCAAAAAAGATTATATACCCTATCTATAAACAATATTTGTTATATCTCATTTAATTCTTCTGAAATCTGAAATATTTCTAGGTACTTAAAATTTACTAGAAATTTCAATAAAATAGATAAAATTAGATTTTTTCCTCTGATTTACGAACAGAAAAAAAGCATGCTACTCACCATGTCACATGGCACATGTTAAAAAGAGTTATGATGATATAAGGGCATGTGGTTATAATATTATTTTCATACTTAGTGAGGTCATTCTGGTCATTAAACACTGAACTGACTTCATCAATAATCTTGAGAAATATTTCCTTTTTTATTGCAATATTCTCTTTGATGACAAGGACTAATTAATGACAGACATTCACCCTTTCCTGATATCACAGAAGACAAATTAATACTTCTAATTTTCATATAGAAACAACATCAGGGAGAACAGGAGGCTTTGTCTGGCACTTTGATTTCCATGTGATTACGGAGGAGATGTGTCAGCTACACACTGAATACGATCAGACTGAACCAGGACTTCTGGGTTAGTCTCCAGCCTTAAAAATCCTCCTCATAAGGGAACAACTAGTGGAATCAACGGAAAACTATTTGTGTTGTCAGATAAATAGGAAAACAGTCTTAAACAAAATCTTAAACTCCTGCCATGTCCATAAATACTTCCCCTTCTCTCCCACACGTGTCTAATCTTGACTCAGAAGCAGTGTAAGCATTTGAAAATTAAGCAGCCACTGTATCAAATTAACAGTGACAAATTGCTTTAGCTTATTTTGTAAAATTTTGCAAAAATCACTCACATGAGTTTGTTTCTAAATTGGGGTGAACTAATATAAATAATACTTAAAAAATAACAACTACAAATTTTTCATGAGATAATTACCAGATTTTGTTATAAAATATAGTTTTAAATACAAGCAGTAGTATGCTGGCTCTTGCTACAACTGGAAAAGAAAGTACTTACATAATGAAATTTCAAACTGCTGATGTGATTCAAATAACCCATTGAAGTTAATATGGAAACATGATAGATAAGGGTGGTGACCAAGACTTCCCTATAGTGTTATTGTTACACTGAGGTTTATCTAGCAACTAAGGAATTACACATCTATTGGGTACTATTATATTTTTTCTTTCTGTGCAAGTCACTATAGGTTTATAAAATGACAAAGTGGTATTGTGAAATACGTATTTTGTCTTTGTCCCATTTCTTGACATACAGCTACTAAAATTCTTGGAATCTTGGTATTGATAAAAGCTTTTTTGGCATGCTAATAAGATGATTGGTGACTGGGGGTACCCAGATTGCTTCAGGATGGGTACCCCCAAAGACCAAGGCAGGATGGAACTTTCAACCCAACCCCAAAATCTAGAGAAGGGAGAGGAGCTGAAGGCACAGTTGATCACCGAGGGCCAATGCTGTAATCAATCATGTCTACAGATTGACAGCTCCATAAAAAACCAAAACTAAAAACACCCCAGGGTTCTGAGAGCTTCTAAAATAGCTAAACATGCAGAGAATAGCTGAACACATAGGTTCCTGGAGGACAGTGTGAAGTTCTGCACCACTTCTATCACACCTCACCCTATGGCTGTTCATCTGTATCCTTTGTAATATCCTTTATAATAAATGAGTAAATGTAAGTAAAACGTGTCTGTGGGTTCTGACAGTCACCCTAGCAAATTAATCCAACTCCAGGAGGGGGTTGTAGGAACCCTGATTTATAGCCAGTCAGAAGCACAGTTCACAAGCTACAGCTTGCAACTGATGTCTGTAGTGGGTGGGCCATCTTGTAGGACTGAACCTTCAACCTGTGGGATCTGACACTATCTTTAGGTAGTTTCAGAAATAAATTGGAGGATCACCCAGCTGGTGTCTGCTGAAGAACTGCTTGGTGTATGAGGAGGAAAAAAAATCCCACATATCTCAGAAGTGAAGACTGGTATACGGAGAGGGAAAGACACACTTTGACTTTTCCTATATCTCTAATAGGCAATAAGTATCTCACAGTATATGTAATATGATTGAGGAAAAAAACAGCTAAACACGTGAAACTGATCATGATTAAGTGCAAAATTGAGTGGCAAAAAATAAGTTCTAGAGGATACCAGAACAAAGAGACCAGTATCGGAAAGGCAGTGGTTTATGAGATGCTTTGCATTATAGGTAGAACGTAGATAGGGATAATAGAACTAGAATGAAAACAACCTTTGGAGGCAGTGAAAATGCCTCTGTGACTCAAGCAATGGAAACTGGAGTTGAGACAAATTGTGGAAGGATGAAAAGTAATGAAACAAGGGCTAGGGTCAAAGCAGTAGGAAACAGGAGTCCTTTGAAGGTGTAATGAACACGGAGCCTGGCAGAGAAAATGTTCAGTTGTCATCAAAAATTCAGTTCCGGCAACCGAAAACAGGGTAAGAGCAACACCTATCCATTCTTATGAGAATTCATTACCGAGAAAATTCGAAACTCACAGACAGATACCCAAAACTATCTGTCTGACAGTAGTATGACATACAAAGTTTGCAGTGTCAGTCATATTTTATGATATGGAAGAATTAATCTGATAATTTCTCTACCTATAATTCAGAATTAGTTACAACACAGAGTCTTAATATTAGTAGCAAGTTCAAATATTCAGTTCCCCGTATTAAGGAAACATGCATCAAGAAAAGATGCATGGCTACCTTATTAGGATACATGGTATTCACATATTGAAAGGAAACATTTTTATTTATTTTCTTCTCTATGTATTGCTTTACGAGGATGCAATTCAGGATTAAATGTTAAGAGAATTGTGTAGTTTGTGGACAGGGGAGTATAAGTTTTATTCTGGGGTAATTAGAAAAGCACAAATATGTTTTCAATGAATGAACAGTTAAAACAATATTTAGGGAAAATTCACTTGGTTGCCCAATGGAAGATGGATTGGAATAGGGGAAGAAAACTAAAAGAAAGGACGTCCATAAAAAGAGGACTCTAATCGTTTAGTCTGAGTTGGATGAGAGTGGTATCAGTGACTCTGAGGAGGAAAGGAGTGATATGAGAGACAGTGGAATACTGACCTAAACATGCATAGAAAAAGGTGGAGAGACCTTGACCTAAAATACTATTACATGGGAGATGGTTCCACTGAACTGTAAATTTTACATTTGCTCATTTACACGGATCCCTATCAGCAATACCAAGCACCCACAGATTCAAGCATGAGTCCAAAGAAAACATCTCCCATTATGGACATACATGT